ATCATCTACACTATTAAAGACTTCAAATTTGATCATTTATATTCCAAAAGATAAAAGAAATAGAAAAACAAAAACAAAAAAGAGTTCATAAAGTGCAAGATTAAGGTACCCAACTCATACATAAAAAAATGAGGAAAATAAAAAATTCATAAAGCTTTAAACAAAAGAGGAAGAGAAAGAAAGGGTAAAACTTTAGGAGTTTTTAGTGCAAATATCATAAACTAACCTAGAAGATTTAAGAGAAATGAGTAAAAGAGAGACAAGAAATTTTATGGTTAATTTGTATACAAAAAGAACCTAATATATTATTTTATTGTGAAATAAATATGCTAAAACTAATATAATATATTATAATATTATATCATATATAATATACAAATAAATAAATAAATAATTGGAGTGGGGGCCTGGGACCACACTGGTCCCATGCTGGCTCCGCCACTGTATATATATATATATATATAAATCTTTCATACACTCACTCAGGCAAATAATTTAAAGATGGTGAGCTCCTCAAACTCAAACAGTGGCACACATGTACAATTTGGTGACACAAGCCACACCAAGATATTTGTGGGTGGATTGCCATGGGAGACTCAAAGAGACACCATGAAAAGCTATTTCGAGCAGTTCGGGGAGATCCTAGAGGCTGTTGTCATCACTGACAAAATCACAGCAAGATCAAAAGGCTATGGTTTTGTGAGTTGACTCTACTCTTCTTCTTTTTTCTTTTCTTTCCTATATTATATATATGGTTTAGTTTTGTAAGCAAGTCCAGTTGTTTTAATGAGGAGTTGTATATTTTTAATTGTCAGGTGACGTTCAAGGATCCAGAAGCAGCAGGGAGAGCTTGTGAAAATCCTAATCCTATCATTGATGGAAGGACAGCAAATTGTAATCTTGCAGCCCTGGGTGCCCAGAAGAATCATTCAGCCACTCCTCAACCTCAACCTCAACCTCATGAACGTGGTGGTTTGCTGAATGGTCTAAAAACCTAGTCTGATGACCTTTCCTAAGTTCGTTATATATACTTAATACTTGTTGTATGTTTCAGAAGCTGAGGAGGGAATGAAGAAATCCAGAGCATCATCCAGACCCTTTATCAACACAACCTCTACGTATTTCTATTTCCATCAACACAACCCCCAATATGCATTCCCCTATTATTCTGCTTACGGGTAATTAAGAAACACTTGTCTATATATGTACTTTTTTATTTAACAATTCATTTGTTTTATAAATTAATTCTCAAGTGTGAATGGTCTTGGTTTCCTCATTCAGATACCCAGTTTACCAGCAGGACAACTTTGCAACGGTTAGAATTTACTTGGGCTGATCAATGATTCATTCATTCATGATACGAACAAGTTGTCTTGATAATAATTACAAATGGTTTTAACATTTAGATGCAGAGTTATAATTACAATGGATATGGTGGTGGCGGTGGTGGTGGTGGTCGGGGCCAACGCCACTACTACTCTAACTCTAGTAATGCTGCTGGAGGCCCTGGAGTGTATCATCCGTTTTGTTTCTATTCTCCATCTCCTATGATGATTCTTGTACAGCAGCAGCAGCCACAGCAACAGGACCCAACAACATCCAACGCCAAACTAGAACCAACAGCCTCCTCACATACACTCACAGTCACAGGGAAACAGCAACAGCATCCTCTCAGACAAGATCCAACAAGAAGAAGAAACTGACCTGAGATTACAAATTCCACTTGTCTTCTCCTGTTCCTCTTCATTAAGGGTTTTATTTTATGAATCTTATCCATTCATTCTTTCATAGTCAATAACCACATAATATATTTATATATATAATATATATGTTAACTCTCTTCCATATGGATTTGAAACTAAACTAAACTAATTACTAAACTATGCACGCAAACATCAATTCTTCACCCACTTCATGCCATTGCCATCGAAGCAACATGTGTACGCCTACGCTGCTACGCCACAAATTAAGACCAACAAACTCTTAGAAGAATTCTTCTTTAAGAGTTTATGATCATCACAAGCATCAAAACACTAAAGAGATTTCATCATAACGCTTAATAAAATTAAACCATTTAGCTCCTCTGAATTCCATTCCAACTCTACAACTTTAAAATAAACCCACAGAACCCCTCGTAGTAGGTATCAAACATCCCTACCACCAGCAACCAGGACAAAAGCATAGATAAACACAAGTACGCCAAAATATTTCTCTGTGCATGCATGCGTCGATATATCTATCACCAGTAAACTAGTCCAGCAAACATGAAAATGTGGTTTAATGCAATGGAGAGCGAGGAGCACGGGGCCGAACAGGTGTCTTTGAAGGGCTTACCCTGCATACATATAACACATTCAAATGACGAGGAGGTCCAAAGTAAATTGCTCCTGAAAGAACATTGGAGTTGGGGGCGTATGTTGTCGGGACAGAACAGTGTAAGCTAAACATTCTGCCAAACTAACCTTATCGGCAGTGATCCCAAAACGACACCACTACAGTTAAGAGCTGCAATTGCACTTTCAGCCTGCGAATGTAAATAAGAATCATTCTCAGATTAGCACCATCTGAATTACCGAGCACAACAGAAAGGAGAAGGCGACTAACATTTAACAACAGAAAAGAAAAACGACTTTTAGTCTAATCATTCTCGATAAAAATGCAAAATTGATTAAAAGAACAGAAGGACCTCTCCTAGTTGAAAATAATTTATAAGTTTCAACGGCCCACATATGAATCATCAATCATCTGAAAAACAATGAAGTACAATGACAATATGAACTTGTTTACTTGTAGTGAATAAACATGTTTTACCTGAGTTTCTGTTTACCATAATGCAATTGCTACATAGTGACAATAGTTAAAACTTACTGTGATATTCTATTGGAATCAGATAATAAAAGCCAACTTAAAATGGATAAAAAGTATTACTGTGGTAAGGAACTATTCTAGATAATAAAACAGTAGTGCAAACTATTCTAGATTCCAGGTTATAAGCAGATCATAATAATTACAGCATGCTAGCATGAGTGATCAAAATCTTAGAATACAAAAGACCACCGGAAAAAATAGGTGGAATGCTGTATATAGTAACTCAGACAATAAATTAACTAATTGTTCTGACAGAAAAGAAACGTCAAAATGATTGAGATGATCAAGCAAAACTTGTACATTTGACCTCAAGTAATTAGAACACAAAATTGAGTAAACGAACTGAGTTCTCTGTCATAGTTTACAGAGACACCCGCCATCATACACTATCTACTGGTTTCACAAAAAGAGATGAAAACACACCCACACAAACTCACAGAGCACATAACACAGTAGGCTTGTGAGTGCCAAAAAAACCCAGCATAAATATACGGAGCCATAAGGTCCTTACCACAGTAAATTCAACAAACGCAATACGAGTGGAGTGATGATAATCTCCAAGTAGCCTCAGGCGTTGAACCTATACAAGCCAGTAAAATGTAAATACAGTAAGGTTGCAGTTTTAGAACGAGCAGCAATAAAAATTTGTCACAGAGGGAAACACAAACCTCTCCACAAAGTGATTCAAAAAACAGTTTGACATCTGCTTGAGTGACCTGCATCAAGTGAACAAATAAAATCAGGAACAGGTGCACCAGTTCTGGTCCTAAAACACCCAGACGAGATTAAAAAGTTGAAAAATACCTTCTTGTCAATATTTGTACAATAAATAGTTCTTGAGCACATCTCACGCTCATCATCAGACTGAATACAATAACAGAATAAATCCAAGTAAGTAAAGAACAGGTAAAATCCGCATAACTTAATCAGTTTGTAACACTCAAACTGCAATAAATTTATACATATATCATAATTAGCAGAATTATATATTGATGACAAGCAGTCAATTATGGTCCTCACCCTTGGCAAAAATGTTGGATTAACAGGTGCAATTGCAGTTTTCGAAGGCAGGACTCTCACTGGGTAATAGCCAAGCATGGTTCCTGACAGACTCAAGGCAACCCTTGCACCTTCTGCGAGCATAAAATAGTTGATTCAGCATAACAAGACAAATATTCATCAATTCATAGTAACAAGTCATAGATATGTCAATGTACTTGAAGTATGTTAGCTTTTGATAATACCTTCATCTGTAAACTCAACAAAGGCAAATCGAAGAATGGAATTTGGATCACCGCATACACGACAGTCTACAACCTTTTGGAAGAAGACGGGAAAGAAATCAGAATTATGATCCACCATTCTGGCATTATCTCTATTGAACGAGTACAGATGAGGATAGTAAAAACTTGCTTACCTGTCCGCAACTAAGAAAGAGAGCAGCCAGGTTTTCTTCAGTAACCTGATATGCAGAAAATGGAGTGGCAGTTATACAACTATTATTTTTTGAATACACAAAATTTTAAAAATGTGACAACCACAAACAATATAATTATTACCTGTTGATCAATGTCAGATACATACACAGTCCTCCTGATCATCTCCTCTCTCTGTGCCAAACTCATTTTGTAATAGTTCCTTCGCCGACCTTGACTATAGCCATTTTTCTTCTGCGGAAGACCCAAAAAAAAACAGAAGTAAACCAAATTATCACAAGTATATCCATCATACAACAAATTATCCCATTCAAGTGAGCCCAAGAAGAAAACAGAACATTTTCCTTGGCTGAGTCTTTCATTTTTCAGAAACCAAACAAAAGGAAAAATAACTCGACTTTTTCATCACTTCATTTCTACATTTTTTTTCAGAAACCAACAGCAAAATTTAACTTTGGCAAGGAAATGGAAAGATCATACATACCCTTCTACCAATAAGTCCATTGGCGTTGTCAGAATTAGTTTGTACTAGAAAATTGTTAGCATAGCCAAACCCACCAGCAAGACTGAACCCATGATTGTTGACAAGTGAGGGAGGCACAAACTCCTTAGCCATGGGATTCAACTTGGACAACAACTCCTCCAAATCTCTCATATCACGTTTGAAACTCTCATCCCCATCCCCTCCATTTCTCACCCCATTAGACCTCTGATCAATTCCATACCCGCCAGTCTTGACCGCCACCATCTGATGGTTATCGACCCCATTGGTGTCAAACCCATTTTGCATCTGACCCATATGAGGCTTGTGATTGCTTGTGGGGACTGACAAAGTTGTTACTTTCTCCTGGTTCTGAAACTTGTCCTGCGGATTCTGATCGTCTCCGTTTGACTGTAAATTGGGTTCCGCACTCAACACGACAGAGGAATCAACTCTGGGTTTTGGGTTTGCAAGATCGTTCTGTGCATTTGAGTCTGATGATACTGCTGTGTTGTCGAAATTTGGTGCATTCTCAGCAACCGCCATGATCAAAGACAACCCCTTTTATTTGATCCAAATACTGTATTTTTTTTTTCTCGAGATTATCTGTAAAGTTATTGTTCACAACAACTGATGAGCAAAAATAGATGATTTATTCAACAAAAACATAAAATAAAAACAAATTTTAATTTTCAGGGAGAGCCAGATGATTATTTTCCCTGAAAAAAACTTACCTGGCTAATCTAGAGAAACTCCATTGAAATGAAATGAAAGCACCTTAAGATCGCTTTTAAGTATAACAGATTAAAAAGGGAAAAGCAAAACAAAAGGGGAAACAAGTCTGCAATTTGGTAAGACAGAGCAATACCTTTTTTTTCTCTTATATATTATTTGTATATTTCACAGATGATGAGAGTCGGGAGAGAAAAAAGAAGAAAAGGGTATTTGTTTGTGCTTGGGATCGTCCGTTTACGCAGCACTGCCTTTTTGGACCTTCCTCACAACGTACCAAAATGATAATGCTGATAATGATGATGATGATACATTGCTATCTCTCTTTCTCTCTTATGAATGAGATGATTTGGAATGTAGACCCACCAACCCCAATTTCCTTTTATTTTTTATTTCCACAATAGCCCATGTGTTTTGTGATTTTTCTCCTATGTGTGTATGTATGACATGCATCATGCATGTGTGACCTACATACACGCATGGGATGGGATTTATTTATTTATTTATGCATCTATAATATATGGAAACAAATTAAGCATTCATTATTATATTACTCACACCCAAAAAAAAATCTGGTTTTTGGATATACATCATAACGTTTTCTGAATGTTTTGGTCAGAATAATTTTTTTTGAATTAGGTGGTTGCGTTTCATGTTCAATCCAGAAGAGGTTGTTGACTTCACATTTAAAATAAAAAAATTAGAAAGGTAATTCCCGATTTAGAAGTGCTCTATATTGTTTCTTTTTTCTATTTTAATATTTTAAATAAAACTTTACAATTGTTTTATTTTGTTCGAGAATAAACTTTATTGGTATTAAGCATCTCCTAAAAGTATAAGTTGGAATTGTTTTATTTTATTGATGAATAAAAATACAAAGACATGTTGAATTTCTTATGTATTTGAGCAACTTGACAGTTGACGTTGACAATGGAAGCTCGTATGTATGTGTATGAATGTTGTATTCTGGTCTTTTCAATTGCGTTAGCATCTGTTTTCTAATTTTCTTTATCGGTGGTCGAAATGAACTTTGAATCTCTTGTTGTGTTTGATTTGAATAAAAATTTGACAGTCTCGTTTAGTAATTTAATAATTATAGGTTACGAAGAAATTAAGATGAAATATCTTTGTCTTTTGTTAATCGTTTCCTTAATTTTTTAAATTAACTTATTTTAATATACTCTGTTTTCACTCTTTTTATTATTATTTTTTTAATTTGTTTATGAAGTAGTTATGCTCTTTTTTTTAATGAGGACAATTTTTAACTATTTAAAATATCACCATTAAAACATTTTGCTAAATATATATAGAAATTTTGTGTACTTGCTAACCAACCAAATGCGTAGCATATCGTAAATAATCAACTAATATTGACATACCTGGATTTGGATGCATGACATATACAAAAGTTGAGATCGGGTTGAAATACGGGTTGCAGCTTGACCTGATAATCAACTCGACCTAATTCAATGAAGATACTTCAAAATCGAAGTCGATCGACTACAATGAATCGGGCCAATCCATTTCTCAAATAGACAATTGGGTAAAATTGGATTATTGGGCGACAAAGGTTCAACATCATAAGTTCTTCCCTCCTTCATTACTTGATAAACAACCAAACAAAAACACAAATTCAAAATCAAAACTCAAGAGAAATCAAGCAAAAAACACTTAATACAAATTTCATTTCAAAGATTATAATTAATTAGTGTTATTAATAGATACCTGAATTGTGAATAGAAACCAACATGGATATTTTGATAACGCGCAGAAAATTTGAAGAAGGATATCGAGGAATGGAGGAGGAGAGGTGTCGACCAAGATAAAAGAGGAGGGACATCAACCCCGAATGGATTAGGAGAGGTTGGTGGAGCCAAACGACGACATGAGCTAGAGGGTGGTTTTTAGGGTTAAATGTTAAATGTAATATTATGAGGATTTGGCGAGGTGAGTTGCACTATCAGAATAGGATAATATGTTGGTTCCCCCTCAATTATACTAATAATGTTAATATACCCCTAATACTTTTCATTGGCAACCAATTCCCCCCCCCAACCCCCGGGTGTAAAATATAGAAAATTAGTCCATTTATCCCAATGTCATATTTATTGCAATTCCATATAAAATGTCGATCATATAAAACATGTGACTCGCTTTTGAAGGTCTTTTGGTCATTTCCCGTATTTTTTCAAATAAAGAAGTCCTATATGTCATCAGAAGTAAGTTAGGTGCTTAGAGCATCCACAATGGACTCCCTAAACTACCTCCTTAGACAAATTTTAGGGAGAAATGATAAAAATACAACGCCAACCACGCTTCCTATCCACCTCATAAAATAGGGAGTCCTCTAGGAGCTCATAAATATGAGGAGAGAGAAATGACTCCTAGTGGCTCCCTAGAATTTAATGTTGTTTTATTTAATGAGTATTTCAAACTTTTATTTAATGCTAACCATTTTTTATTTTATTTTTTAATAGAGATAGACCAAACAAAAAAGAGTTATATCATTTATGACTCTCCAAATTAGGGAGTATGGTTGGAGTTGAAATTATTTAGAGAGCTCCTAAAATAGCTTTCTTATATTCTTAGCCAAATTTTAGCTAAGAAATAGAGAGCATCATTGTGGATGCTCTTAGTACGTGACTTTCCACTTTTGCCAAACACTCCATTTTGATTAAATCATAAACATAACTTAAAATGTATGAGTCCCTAAGTATGCGGAGACATAAGGTGGAGTCTACTTTTTTCTTCTCTATTTTTTTCACTGCTCAAAAAATAAAGTGGATAATTTATTTGAAGCAATAAAAAAGGTTTGATAATGACATTTCAAAATAATAATTGTGCACTAATTTATAATTGAAAAAAATAAGGAATAATTATTATGAAGTGCTAATAAGTCCTAAACCGTAAACTATAATTTAATTTGTTTGCATAAATACTTATCATTCCTTGTTTTTATTTTGTTTATATAATCAAAAGTGACCATTAGTTGTTGGTGAAACAATTGTTTTGTAACAAACAAATAATTATTCTACTTATTTATTATTTGGTCGACAACCAGCATGCATACATGCTTATATAATTTGATACTGCTTACGCTTACGAGAAAAAAGTAACGATTTGATGCCCAACTACCAAAAGAGAAAAAAATAAAATCATCGCGAGGTTCCAATCTATGGAGGATTTGAGAAAAACCCTTAACTGGGCGGTTGTGTAACTAGTGGTCCAGCGTTGATAAGAAAAAGATGGAAGTATCCATCACTCATCCCAAAACTATAACAAATTTTGTTTTGTCTTAAGCAACGGAATTTTGATCCATATCCACAATGGAAAAATATTATGTAAATTTAATTTTTTGTATTTTGGTACGAAGAAAGAAATCGTATTATTTACACGAGATTTCGAATTTTGGAAAACATGTTTTAATGATGGGAAATACTAATAGGGGCTTTGTTGTAAGGAACGGAACCCATCATCTGTCTGGTTTTTATGATCCATCATCCTTGCTAATTTTCAATCACAAGTTGTCGCATTTTTGTTTGGTGGTGGACCAGACCGGAGTACGTGATGGGACTCTGCCTGCCCAGATTTCAATTTGCCCCAAATTTGTTAAACGGTTGCGTTATTGCCACGTAATACAATTGATTCTTGTTTTATTTCTCCAAGGCAATGAGTCTGATTGTGACAGCCAAATCTATCGCTATGCTTATCCAGTCATGCAAACGAAATCAACCGAAACCAAATTTATTTATTGGCTTTTACTATCAATTCTAATCTAATCACATATTAGCAACAAATTTGTCAATTTATGAGCTCAAAAAATGCAAGACTTCAAATTCTTCAACAGAAGACAGAACCCTACTGCTTAATTAATCGTTACTTTTTTTTTTCGTGTCTTCATAATATTTAATATATGATTGGTCATTTTCGGATTTAGAGGGTTGCCGTTTTAAGACCGTGATCACAGATTCACAGATTCACAGATGACCAGGTTCAGGTTGCTTAGCTTGGGCCCCCTTATCGGCTTTCGCTAGCAAGCTGCATATTTCCAATGCATGCAGTTTCAGGCTAAAGAGACAATAACTGAAAAGTGGGCTCTTGCTTCTGTTTGGCAACACTGCCGTGCTGCCGTGTGCTTGAAATGGATAAAAGATCGAGAGAGTTCAAGTGATGGCTTTCTATGTGGCACTTCAAAAGCAACCATTAAAATGTGTCAAGTCAAAACAAAGGGCTAATATTCATTCAAGGTTTTTCTTATTATTTATTTATTTATTTTATTTATATAAATGATAATCTAAATTACTATAATTTAGTATATGGAATGAGACTCGAACCTAAGTATAAGAGTACGAACTTATTACCAACTCGGCTAATTCACATATACTTTTAATTTCTTATTACGTTAATGAAATCGATGTTACAATGTTATATGGGTTGGGTTGGTAGGCAAGTCCATTTTGGCCGTGTAGTCATGGACTTATTCAACATATGGAATAATGTCAAAACAATTCCTCATGGGGCAAAAGGCAGTCAAGTTATCCAACCTCTGGTCTCATCGAACACCTTCGCCCATTCTGACCCAATTTGCCCGCATGGATTGATCGTCCCAGGCTCCTAGCTAATTTAACCAAACACAAACGCGGATGGTATTTTGATGGTCAACTTTAGGTAACAAAAGAATAACCGGGGAAGCAACCTTGGAAGTCATAAACTTTGAAAAAACCTCCAACGTGATCAGAAGCGGACGAAGTAGAAAAAGAAGAAGCGAAAAGCAATTATCTTATGTTTAGTCAACAAGGGTGCACATACAAAATGGCATCAGCTTCCTAATAATTCAAATAGGCCTCAGCCAGACAAAACCTACCCGATCAAACCCAACAATTATTAGATCAATTTGGTTTCATATATGACTAACCCGTCATAATTTCCGGTTTGGTATTTGTTTTCGGGGGAACCGGACGGGGTCCACCCACCAGTTCACTGCTTGAAAAAGACCGTTAGCACCGAAAAGTTATATATATTCATAATGGGCCTCCTTAAATTCATTAAAGCCCAAGGTCCTGCCCCAATTTTTGATCCAAGATTTGGGCTGATATTTATATTCTGATTTCAGGCCCAGCCTAAGGCTCAAACCCACGTCAGCCGTTGATAGTCGACTCTCTGTCTCTCTTGCATTTAATATCAGCCATTTCCCGTTTTGCCCCTTTTTTGCCCTAGCCCAATTTATTTTCTCATTGCTTGGCGCAGCGAAAGCAGACAATTTGCCAAGCGCTCAAGTCTCAAGCTCTTCACACACCGTTTGCACGGTG